GAGTCATAAGCATTTGTAAGCACGATTAATCAAATTTCATAGAAATTTCCAACTAAATTGGTGGGGTCTATATATTTTAGTGCACTGAAAATTATTTTAATGTGTCTCTTCCTAGCAAGCATTTTTTTTTTGTATGTTTAAAAGATGTCAAATAAATGTCTAATAGACATCTAAACATAGTCATCTTGGCTAAAACAAGGCTAAATTTGGGCTGTCAGTGAAAATAGAATAGAAGTAAAAAATAGGCCAAAACTAGACTAGTAATCAAATAAACAGAAATGAATGACCACACATATAAAGTCTGTTTAATCTGTCTATTTGACGACTAGTCTAGTTTTGGGCTATTCTTAGATGTCTATCAGATTTTCACTGACAGCCTAAGTTTAGCTTTGTTTTAGTCAATCTGTCTACGTTTAGATGTCTATTAAACAAAATTGTTTGCTGGGTTGTTAAAATATTACTAAACAATTGTAGTAGTAACATATTTGATGTTATAGTATGATAATAAAATATTTTAACATTGGTCACCACAGTGTAAAAACTGTTTGTTTTAACTACTTATTAAAAATTAATTTAAACAGCAACTTCATTGTTTTATGCACAATGCATACTCATGAAGCAGATGTTTGACGTGAATAATGCGTCAGTGCTCTTTTTATAAATTCATCTCAGGCCTATAAACATCACGCAATGGAATCTGTTGGTGGTCATGAGAATTTGAAAGCATAATTAGCAGGAAAAGGTCATGGAAATTTCCAACTAAATCGGTGGCGTACAGTATATATATTTTAGTGCACTGAAAAATATTTTAATTATTTAAACGGGTCTCAAATAATAATTAAAGCAGTAACATATTTGGTGCTTTTTTATGTTAATAAAATCTTTTAACAGGGGTAAACATAGTTGAACACACCAAAAAAAAGACATTTGCTGCTTGTTTAATCTATTTATTTAAAATGAGATGAAACAACACGATTCTTAAGGTTTTTTAGGGGAAAATTTAATTGTTTTATGTTCACAACACGATTCTTAAGGTTTTTTAGGGGAAAATTTAATTGTTTTATGTTCAATCCATTTAAATTTGTAAAAATAATTAATCTAACAGCCTGATCTCACAAGAAAACATAAGTATTTTACATTTTGTCAGTTTAGTAGCTAATTCGTGGAGTTCAGTTGTACGAAAATTTACAAATTTTAAAAGGAGGTGTGGCACTCCACCCTGCACCTAAACCCAACCGTCACTGGGGGATGAGCAAACCTTCCTAAATTGTACAAATAAGATTGTAGAGATTCAAACTAATTAGCCACTAACGAATTGCCGTGAGATTGTTTTGGTTAACTTAATCGATTTGTGTTGGGACATCATGAAGGTATTGTGTTGAGTTCATTTTTGAGTTATGTTCACTTATTGTAATAATATTCAGTCATCATTCAGTGTAAAACACATTTACGTAAAAATGAAACAACATATTTAATTATGGGGAAAATATATAATAATACTTTTCTAAATATATCTGACACAACTTTTTTTGATACGTAAAATATTGTCACATTACATTAAATTGTAGTGTTTTTGTGTGTGTGTGTGTGTGTGTGTGTGTGTGTGTGTGTGTGTGTGTGTGTGTGTGTGTGTGTGTGTGTGTGTGCTAATTATCAGTTATAGCCACAATTTTTTTCTCAAATTATATTAAACTGGACTAAATGTGAATTGTGAATGATATAAAAAAATTACAGGGTTTGCGTTACATGACCAGAACACATTGTAATAAACCAATCGTTTCAAATGAAGGCAAAATTTTGTAGCTATACTTTTTAAATCAAATAATGTGTTGTTCCATATGCTAATATCATCAGTATCTTGCACTTTTTTTGCAAATATTCACACTTTGCCTCCGCGATATTTGAAAAAACGTACAGGGTTTGCATTACATTACCAGAACACAATGTAATAAACTAATCGTTTCAAATGAAGGCAAAATTTTGAAGCTATACTATTTAAATAAAATAATGTGTTGTTCCATATGCAAATATCATCAGTATCTTGCAATTTTTGTTTTTTGCAAATATTCACACTTGGCCTCCATGATATTTGAAAAAAACTAATATTTAGATATTTTATATTTCTGCAATTAAATATTGCAATATTTATACAATTTCCCAAGATAGTTTGAATAGCACTACATGATGGTTTTCTGGGAGCTTAACAGTATTCAGGTACAAAAATTGAATGGTTTGAATGAAAATTGATGTTTCTTGTACAAATATCTCAAAATTCTTAGAACAAGTAATAATATTGATGTGTTTTCAACTTCAGAAGAAATAAGTCAAAATTTAAGAGTTTTTCCTTAAAACAAGTGAAACTGTCTGCCAGTGGGGTAAGTAAATAATCATGTTTTCTCTTTGAAATGTAGATATTTGGACTAGAAACAAAAACAAAAAGAAGACAAAAACTCAGAAAAGAAAGTTGTTTTGGCATAAATCGTATAAATTCTATATAAATACAGTATGTTCATACAATTCTATAGCTCCTGGTCTGCCATAATTCAGACTTTGCATATTGGTGACTATTGCAAATGTGTACATTGCAAAATCAATGCTGAAACTATATATTGCACAGCCCTAATTCACACAGTAAAAATGCTGGGTTCTGCACGACTGATTTGTCCTAGGACAACATCAAGGAATTAAGTTAACTTATTAGTTTTTACAAATTTAAGTGGATTTAACATTAAACAATTAGGTTATGCCAAAAAAAAAAGAATTGTGTTGTTTCAGCTAAAATTAAATAAGTAGTTTGAACAAAAAAGCTAATTGTTTGAGTTTATGTCAACATACCACAAATAGTTTACAAACACCATTTCATTTTTTTTATTTTCACCTTACAGATTATTTGAGGTTTCTTAAAAAAATTCCTAAACTGTCTGTTGTGCGTAAGATGAAAAGACTACCTTGGTCAAATGAAAAAAAAAAGGTGGAGAAGAATGAGATTGCATTATCCTAGAGGAGCAGTGGGATGTCATTAGCGGTGTTTATCTCTGATGCAGAACACAGATAAGGCTGAATAATCCGCTCACATCATTACGGGCAACTGTATAGACTGATACTATTTTTTTAATTGCTGTATCACTAATCACACACTTCAGAACCGAGGGGCGGGACACAATTATCACTTCATATGCCGTATTTGGATGCATTTATGTTTTGATTATGGCAACTAGTTAATTTACGCTCCTACAAGGATTGATCTTTGATTAAGTATACTGGGATTTGCACATTCCAAATAATTTGTTTGACGATCTTACGTGTGCAGATCTGCCAAAATACAAGCTTGAAGATAATCCATCTGACTGTTATTTCTCAATGCTGTGGAAAAATAGAGCACGGAATAGAGAATGGGATGAGTTAGCTGGGTAACAACATCACCATACAGTAGTAGATTGTATTATGACTGGGCGATGTGGCAAAAATGCAACCTCGATAATTATTTTCCATATTGAACGATAACGATATACATTTCAATATAAGTTGTTAATACATCCAGATTTAAAGGAGTACCCCTAACAATGACTAAAGCCACAAAAATTAGATTGCAAAACATTTTCGGTTGATAAATTTTCAGTGGCCGAAAAGTGGGTACATCTCAGTTTTAGATTCCCATTGTTGCGCATTTCTGCTGAGTGATTGGCTCTTAGATCAACATATGGTCCCACTTTGTTTTGATGGTCCGTTTGCTGAGTTAAGATACATTGCATCATGCCAACTATTCTCATTAGATTATAAGTACTGTAGACTGTTAGGGTTAGTGTAAGTTAAAATACTTGCAAAGTCAATTAAATGTCTGTTGAAGGAGCAGTACCTGCAGATATTAAAAGACAGACTACTAATACTCTAATTGACCAGCAAAATAAAATGTTACCCAACATAGAGTAAAAAAAAAAAAGTCCAGAGCTTATCAATGCTATTGACATAAATGTTATCGCAATTCAATATAATATCATTTATCGGCCCAGCCCTAGCTTGTACAGTATGAAATGTAAGGGCTGTACTGCCTCTAGTACGCTAACTGTAAATTAGCAGTCCATTTCAAAAGGTGAATCCCTCTAAGGAATAGTTCGATAAAAATGAAAAATGTCCTCATTTACTCATTCTTTTATGGTTTTAAACCTTTCTGTTTTCTGTTCCTTCTGTTAAACACACACACACAAAAACAATGTATTTTAAAAAATGTTGGAAACCTGTAACCATTGCCTTCCATGGTATTTGCTTTTTACTAAAGTCAATGGTTACAGGTTTTAAGCTTATTCAAAGTATCTCTTTAAGTGCTCAACAAAGAAACTTGAAGATTTTAAACCTCTTGAGGGTCAGTATAATATCATTTTTGTGTAAACTATCCCTTTACTATCAAATCTGGAGATGAGACATTAATTTAGTTTGATATATTAAGATTATACATCAATAATATGATACAATAATATGATTAATATGCGTTGCATTGTATCATATTAAACAGAGAGCAACAGGAACATAAATAGTATTACTACAAAGCCACTATTTAATAATACTAAATGACACTATAATAGCTTCATGCATTGGTATTATTGATTGCATCCGACATTCATCATGTCAATGAATTACTTTCAGTTTTTTTTTTTTTTTCAATTCAAAGAGATGGAGAGATCGAGAGAGGGAGAGACAAAGAAAGGAACCCTGTTGAAAAGCCACTCTGCAGATGTGAAGAGTCGATTCCTGATCGATTCATTGATTATGACTAACAACCTGCTGGGCTTACACAACTGATTACCAAAACATAGCATGCTTTCAGGCATAAACAACAGCCATTATGTTGTGCAATGTGTTTGTCCTTATTTATTTTTTTTTTTTTTCTTTCAAGCATCAATCATCTGTCATGTAATCATACGAGGTGAAATGACATGAAGTCATGACGCAGGGACTCATTCCAGCACATGTGGCAGGCTACAATTTGGGCACTCTGGACTCACCTGGAACAGTCGCAGAATATTTGCGACCATGATGGACACCGAGCTCGCCGAAGCCCCAATGACTCCGACCACCTTTTCGGGTTTGACAAACACCGGGGGCTCTCCGTTCGTACACCTCACATCCGACGTGTCTTTCTGTATGAGAGCCTGCACAAAAGTAAGCGACTGCTCCAGCGCGTACGTGTCTCGCGAACATGTGTCTAAAACCCGAGCCCCTAAAGTGATGTTGGGCAAAAGCTCGTCGTCGCTGTTGATTTGGTCCAACGCATAAAGCATCGCCTCCAACCTGTGTATCCCGTTCTCCTTCTTTATATCTCCACACGGTTCCCCGGAGACCCCACGGGCATGGACCGGGAAAAGGCCACCCAGGGTCAGATCCCCCTCAATTCGGATGGAATGAGGAGCGTAGATTTCCTGCGAAAGTGTCACATCCACGAGCGCTTGAATTATCCAAAATACCCGCCATGGAAAGCAAGCCATGGTCTCCTTGTTGTTAGGAAACACACGCAAAAAGGCACTTTTCCACAGTATTTATAGGCAAACAAAAGCAGATATGATCTCAATAACGGCCATAGACCTCGCCAAAGTAAGGTTGGCGTGGAAAAACGTTGAGGTTTTCTCCAAAAACACCGCGCAAGAAGGATGCGTTATTCCTGTGGAAAGTGCGCATCGTATGGCGACGCTTGTTGCTTAGATATTCTGCATTATTTGTTTAAGTAAATAAAGAAAAACTGGAAAAGCAAGCCAAATACACACAGTAGCTTTTCCTATAATTATCGGTCCTTAAAGCAGAAGGAAATCCGGATTAAAATGCAGCGATATTCGACTAAAAAGCGTCTGGTCCACGCTGGTGTCATAACGCCGCCGCGAAAACATCGCGACTGAGTTTAACGAATTTTGTTTTTTTTTAAACAATTAAGGCGGCAAAAAAGTTTCCGTTTAGAATGACGCGTCGCGTGTAACCGTCAGTGAAAAATGTTGCAGAGAATCGATGTCAGGTGAGATATCCGTAACATCCTCCCATCGCGGACTTCAGCTGAGGCTCTTCTTGCTCGAAGCAGGTGCTTCTTTTTATAATTGCGGGGAAAGAAGCAAAGCTTAGCCGACTATTCGTCTTTTGGTCTTGCTGAAATCCTCACAAGAGACAAGAAGATAGCTCGCGTGTCTCCTCCTCTCTCTTTCTCTCTTCTCTCTCCCTCTCTCTCTCTCTCTTTCTCTCCACCCAGAATCAAATATGGATTTGTCAAATGACTCAACGCACGATCGATGTCGTGTTACTCATCCTGGTCAGCCCTCAAAGAAAATACTCTCCGGCGTGTGAGGCGAATTATAAAGCGATACAGTCATTAAAGTCGACGATTAATTATCAGGAGGGATGTTGCAGTGAAGTTTCCAGCCAGGTTTGAATATACTCTGTATAATATCTTTGTCATAGAGAAAGGCTTCTGAAGCGCTTAAGCAAACCGAATGAGGAGTTCACCTAAATGTGGTTGTGTTCGGGCAAAAATTGATGTGGGTTAATATTGAAAATACTCCAGTTCTGGAGACTCGCATTGTTTTTCCTGTTGAATGCAGCTACTGTGGCTGACAGAGGAAATGAATTCTGTCAACATCAATTCATGATTTTACCGCCTCTCTCTCTCTCTCTCTCTCTCTCTCTCTCTCTCTCTTACTCTCTCTCACACACACACACTCTCTTTTTGCTATTCTATTAAAGGGATATTTCACACACACATTTTAATTAATCATTTACTCACGCTTCACTTGTTTCAAACATTTTCGGCTTTTTCTTCTGTTCAACAATACAAGAGATGTTATGAAGAAAGCTGGAAAACTGCATTGCCATCCATAATATTTATATATATATATTTTTTTTTTCATGGATGTTTATGGTTACAGGTTTTCAGCTTATTTCAAAATATATATTTTGTCTCAAAGGTTTCTAACAACTGTATTAATTCATTAATTTTCCTTCGGTTTAGTCCCTTCATTTATCAGGGGTCGCCATGGCGGAATAAACCGCCAACTTATTCAGCATACACTTAATTTATTATTATTTTTTGCTATTATTTTTTAAACTACTTATTTAAAATAAAGCAACACAATTCTTGAGATTGGGACAACTTAATTGTTTATGTTTGATCCACAAATTTGTTAAAAATGTTAAGTTAACTTAATCGATTTGTGTTGGGACACCATGAATGAATTTTGTGGAAGCCTGCATTTTTTACAGTGTATGATTTTACACAGCGGATGCCCTTCCAGCTGCAACCCAATCCTGGGAAACATCCATACACATTCATTCACACACAAAGTTTCTAACAACTTGAGGCTGAGTTAATACATTTTTGGATGAACCATGCCTTTAATGCTGCAAAGTTCCACTAACTTACAGTATATTGCTTTTATTTTGATCTAATGGTGCTTCACAAACAAACTTCAATTGCCTAAACTATACAAATAAAGCATTTTCCAATTTTCAATAAGACATTACTTAGTATGTTTATTAGTGTTTTCTTTTGGGGGTCGTTGGCTGGTATTCAAAACGTAGGTGTAAGTGTTTTTACAATGCGTATATAAGAGAACTTTGGTTCAGACATTCATTCATTCATTTTTGTTTAGGTTTAGTTCCTTTATTAATCAAGGGTCACCACAGTGGAATGAACCACCAACTGAACACAGCAGATGCCCTTCCTGCTGCAACCCAATTTTGGAAAACATCCATTCACCCATTCACACACATTTGGTTTCTTGAGGCTGAGTAAACACATTTTTGAATAAACTATCCCTTTAAGGCTGGGAAGTTCCACTGGCTTACTGTATATTGGTTTTAATTTGAGCTAATGATGCGAACACAAACAATGTTCAATTCCCTAACCTACACAAATAAAGCGTTTTCAAATTTTCAATAAGACATTACTTAGTATGTTTATTATACCATTTTCTCATGGGGGTCGTTGACTAGTCTTCAAAACGTAGGTGTAAGTGTTTTTACGATGCGTTGGGGAACTTTGGTTCAAACATATCATACATTATTTAAATTTGTTGCATTTAGGCTCACACATTCTGACTGTCATGAATGCACTCACTATAGTTTACAATGTAATAATGTTGTTCAGTTTCTTTAAGTGTACTGCTTTTATTTCTATCTATCTTTCTTAGTTTTAATTCTCAAAGTGCAGCTAGCCATTGACTCCGTTTTATGAATAAGGACTTCAGCTTTTCAAGTGTATATGTTTGTGAATTGCAAGAAGAGGGCGTAAGATGAAAGGGTGTAACTTGTAGTAAGTTAGAGGAGTAACGAAGTTATCGACATCCCATTGAACCGAGATGTTGTTGGCAACATGGCGGAAATATTTACCAAAGAACATTTTCATCAAATGTTTTTATTAGTTTTGTCTAAATTTATCCACAATCAAGTCATTTGACATATTATTATATTCATCCATATTCATCCTCATTTAACTACACTCGCTGACTTCTTCATCTGTTTTGTCATGATAGTTAGTCTACTCTGCGTCGCCCCCTGTGGTTGCAAATAACAGTACAATGGCGAGCGTGTCAAGTGTGAAAGTCACAACTCGTGGCTGTACATTAATAACTATAATGGTTGGGTTTAGGTTAAGGGAAGGTGTAGATGTTAGTAACTGTAATGGTATGGTTTAAGTTTAGGGAAGGCGTTGACGTTAATAAAGTAGATGTTTGGGTTTAGGTTTAGGAAAGGTGTCGAAATTAATAACTCTGATGGTTGGATTTAGGTTTAGGGAAGGCGTAGACATTAATAACTGTGATGGTTGAGTTTGTGGTTGGGGTAGGTTTAGACCAGGGGTGTCCAAACTTGGTCCTGGAGGGGCGGGGTCTGATTGAGGTTGAAACTAAACTCCTGGTGTTGTCATTAATAACTGATGTACAGCGCCATCTAGCTGACAACATAGTTTTAATATGCCTCCATAAATTTAAGTTACGCCTCTAACGTACTTCAAGTTACACCCCTAAGGCACCTTCATATTATGCCCGTCTTGCAGTCCAGAGACAGGCCCTACTCCAGTTTCTGCAAAAAATAAAAATAAAAAAATAAAATAAATGTTTGTGGACTGCAGCATTGAAGAGAAAACTTACATCAGGGCTGCTCGATTTTGGGAAAAATCATAATCATGATTATTTTGGTCATAATTGTTATCACGATTAATCAAAACGATTATTTTTGAAGTCAAAATTATTAGCGCTATTTTTTTTTTTGAAATAAATATTTCCCAAATTATGTTTAACAGAGCAAGGAATTTTAACAGTATTTCCTATAATATTTTTTCTTCTGGAGAAAGTCTTATTTGTTTTATTTTGGCTAGAATAAAAGCAGTTTTAAATATTTTGAAAACGATTTTAAGGTCAATATTATTGGCCCCTTTAGGCAATATATATATATATATATATATATATATATATATATATACAATGACTTGCCTAATTACTATAACTAAGCCTTTGAATCACACTTTGAATTTGAATGCTATTTTGAAAAATATCTAGTCAAATATTATGTGCTGTCATCATAGCAAAGATAAAAGAAATTAGTTATTAGAAATGAGTTATTAAAACTATTATGTTTAGAAATGTGTTGAAAAAAAAACCTTCTTTCTATTGAACAGAAACTGGGGAAAAGGGTTGCTAATATTCAGGAGGGATAATAATTCTGACTTCAACTGCTTATATACAGTTATTTTTCTCCCTGCAAAGGAAAGAGAAATAAATACAATAGAATAAAAATATGAAACAAACTGTGCTTTAATCATCTTCACTATAGGAAAAACACTTTAGCCACAAAAGTCCTTCAGTCAAGAGCAGAGAGGGATTTTCTCCTTTTGTTATTTGATTAATAATGATCGAAACAGGCAGCAGCAGGAATAGTCACTTTAATGGTTTCGCTTTCACGTTTCTTTTGATCCTCAACTTGTTTGTTTATTACACAAATGAGGGTTAATATAAATAATCACTTAACACCCTGTTTTGACACCTATTTGACGATTAAAGCGCTCACATTAAGATGACTTTAGATGCTCTGCTCGTCACAGTGTGTGAATGAGACCGAATGCTGACCGCATGCTTCTGACACACACACACAGGAGCATGCGGTTAAGATCTCGCTTTTAAAAGCAACAAATGTTTACAACTGGAAAGTGGGCGGTAAATAATGGAATTATCATTTATCTCGATTTATGCTTTGTCATAATCGTTAGAAGCCAAAATCAAAATCGGATTTTCTATTAATTGCACAGCCCTACTAACATAAGTTTTAATTTTCGGGAAAAGTATTCCTTTTTCTTTTTGAAATGCAACACGTTTTAGAGAAGTGTATGATTTTGTGCATAGCATTTCATATATTCTTGAATAAAAGTCTGACTTGATTTAGTTTAGGACCTCTAATTATTATTATTTTCCAAATTTATATTTTCCAGATGAATGATTTTACCTTTGAGGATGTTCCCAGA